ACCTGCTCCCGGCCAGCTGCCCGAGGCGCAGCTGTTGCCTCTGACACTGCCGCTGACACCTGTTGCCGGCCAGCTGCCCGAGGCGCGGCACACGCTGTACGAGGCGCGGCTGTTCCCGCTGCTGGGCTCGCCGGACCACTGGACGGCGCTGATGGTGCTGCAGGACATCGACCTGGCGCGCGGTGAGCCGCACAAGTGGTTCCGCGAGTACCGGCCGGAGAGCTGGGCCTCCTGCGCCCGCTACTCGATCCGGTGAGCGGCCGCGGCGCCAGGGCCGCCTCTGGGAAGTCTGGCCGCTGCGATTGCGCGGTGCTGAGCGTCTCAGCAGGTGGCGTACAGGTGGCGATAGAGGGACCTAACGATGTAAGGCGGGCCTCCGGACTTTGCGAACTTTGGCCTGGTATTGCTGTGAGGAGTTGCACATGCTGTGCGCTTACCGGAAGACTTTGGAGTATTTACTGCTACTCTGCAGCAGTGGAAGACGGGCATTTTCTCACCTATCAGAGAAATGCATGAGTCGCAAAGTCACTGTTATCCGCCCGCATCTCCAGAGACGTTGGACGATGATTCCGGCATGGATTGCGCTGGATAGCTTTTTGACGAGGAGGCCCGGCTGCCTCAGGCTTGCCGGAGCCAGGGGCTGCCGCATGGACGCCTGCAGGTGCTGTCGGTGGACACGGTGCCTCCTCAGCTGCGGGGCCGGGGTGGCTGGGTGTGCCAGCGGGGAGGGACCCGGCCGCCTGCAGGTGCTGTCGGTGGACACGGCGCCTCCTCAGCTGCGGGGTCGGGGTGGCTGGGTGTGCCAGCGGGGAGGGACCCGGCCGCCAGCGCTGCTCCCGCCTCCGGTGGCCGGTCTGGACTGACGCCACCGCCGCCGCCGCCGCAGGGACTTTGTACACGGCGTGGTGCCCGTCGAGGAGTACATCCTCGGACGCGAGTGCTTCTGGCGGATCGCCCGCAAGCACATCGTGGAGAACCTGCGGCCGCCCAACGGTGACACCTTCCTACCATACTTCATCTCGGCCAAGGGAGGTGAGGTGGTGGCCGCGGAGGTGGCGGCGCGCGCGCGGGCGCGGGCAGAGGCGGTCCGTTCCTGGCAGGTACGGGGAACTCTGTGGTGGGGACGTTGTCCAGGCACCGCGCCATGTCAGCGCCGTCGTCGAACGACAATATGGGATGGCTGTTGTGTGTGTGGTGCTGCTGTTTGCTTCATTTATCGGGCACACGGGTGTTGGATGGAATGGTGCAGAGGTCTGACCCCCTGGTCTTTTGACGCTGTTGGGGGAACGTCATATCACGAGCGTGACGTTTTCAGTGGTAGAATAAGGCTCAGTATGTGCACATTCAACACTTGTCGTGCACGAGGGGGATTTTTGTATGTGCCTTCGTTGAAGAGTCTTGTGTTGCTGCCTCTGTCATTGCTTTGTGGGCATCGTCGTGCCTGCGATGTGGCCAGAGCGGACGCCGCGGGTGGAGCACATGCTGCTGGAGTCGCTGGACTGGGCAGCGGCGGCGGCCGGGCCGGACGGCGCGGCGCGCATGCTGGCCGCCCAGGCCGACCTGCTTGGCGTGATGGCCGGCGGCGAGGGTGGCCTACGGAGCGGACCGGCCGGCAACCAGGCCTGGCAGCACGCCTTCAGTGCGCTCGAGGTGGGCCCTCAGCTCGTCGGCTGGAGACTGTCGTCTGGTGCATGTGGGTGGACAGGGGTCAGGGAGGGTGTACTCTCCGGTGGGTGTGAGTGGACAGGGGTCGGTTGAGGTCTGCCGTGTGGCGGATGTGGGTGGACAGGATCCAGTTGAGGTCCGCTGTCTGGTGGATGTGGGTGGACAGGGGCGGCTGAGGTCTGCTGTCTGGTGGATTTGGGTGGACAGGCCGGTCAACAGCCTCTCGTCTTCGTGACGCTTCTCATATCATGGAGGGTGACTGGGCTGACAACAACCGATGCGTGAAGATGAAGTGGTGAACCCACGTACTCTTGACCGCGTGCTCGTTCCTTTAGATTGAGTGGAAATCAGGCGGTGCAGAGCCGCCAACGCCAACGGTTTGAATAATTCCAGTGCCGCGAGTCTTCCGTTTGGCATATTCGTTGTTTGAATATTGCTTTTCGTTTGTATCACGTTTTCCTCCTTGGCGTATATTGTCGTACACGATTTCATCCCTCATCTGTGCTTGACCACCGTATCTCCTCGTCTGTGGAGTTTCATTGTCCTCCCCAGACCCCTCTGTCAACCCCGCCGCACCGCTCCCTTGCGGCGCTGCCCCTCTCTGACCGCTCTCTCACCCGCCGCCGCCGCCGCCGCCGCAGCACGAGTCGATCTCGGCCGGTGTGTCGGCGCTGGCGCGCGTGCGCCGCGACTGGCTGGGCACGCCGGACCGACTGATCCGGGCGGCGCGCCACTACGAGCGCGCGGCGCAGACGCTGATCCGGCTGGCGGTGATGGGTGTCACGGAGCGGGTCCGGCTGGGTGTCGGGCAGCGGCCGCCGACTGGCCTCTGGGTCACGGCCCGCTGCCCGGCCCGCGCCGACATCTCAGGTCAGAGCCGGCTCCAACGGCGAAGAGACTGGGTTAGGACCATCGGCCCGCCGCCGCGCCGCCCCGCGGCCGGTGGGGTGGGTCGTGCAAGAGGTCAGCCGTCCGGGCCTCCGGTGGGGATGGCAGCCGCTCATTTTGGTGGACGCTCGCAGCAGGTCGAGCCGCGATCGTCCGCGTGACAGTGGAACATGATAGACAAGGGCAGTGGAACATGATATCCATCAGTTCTGATCGTCCGCTCCGTGTGCGCGGAGTCGCGGAGCGTAATGGGGTGGTGAAGTTTCGTTCATTTCGAAAACGACGATTTCAGCTATTGCCGCGACATGCTGGCGTGGGGCGTGGAGAGATGCGGTCTGCTCGCTGGCCGGACACGAACTGTCGAGCTGTGGAGTCGGTCTTTTTGACCCCGAGCGTACGCCGCCGTCATGGCACCGACTGACCCCCGCCACCCCGCCGCCGCCGCAGGCGGGTGGAGCGACACGCCGCCGATCTGCTACGAGATGGGCGGCCTGGTGGTGGACCTGGCGCTCTGCATAGACGGCGTGAAGCCCATCGGGGCCCGCGTGCGCCGCACGAGCGACACCAGGGCCGTCCGGCTGAAGATCTGCGGCCCGCACGGCGACCAGGTACTCCGCCGGCCGCTGGCCCGCCGTCGGCTCCCGCTGGCGGTGGTGTGAACTTGACGTTAGTGTTCTGGAGACCGAGGGCCCGTGGTTTGGAAGCCGAGCAGGCCCCTGGAGCCCCAAGCTAGTGTGTTGGTGTGAAGATGTTCCTATTGTAGTCGAGTATGTGCCTTATGCTTAATCATCCCGCGGTCGGATTTTCAGCTTTCATGGCTCTCCTTGGCATGTCTGAAATTCAACATTCTGTTGACATTGCTATTGGCAGAATGCGGTTTAAGCCTTAAGTATGTTCTTTGTTGTTTTGTAGCCAACGTATCCGTGAATATCCATGAGGGCTTCTTTTCGGTTCAAAATTGCGCAAGTTGTTAGTGCGTTTGCGAAGAGCATTGCTCACGTAGATACGGCCGTGCATAGTAGTAGCCGTATTCCTCGGAGACAAAACAAGGAGAATGGAGATATAAATGGGTTGATGTTTCGATAAAGGCATGGTGCCGAAATATTAACCCATTTATATCTCCTCTCTCCCGGTTTTTCTCCGAGGAGTAAGGCCATTACTACTGTCTTTGAGAGTTATTGAATGTCGCGTTGCTGATGCTGTCGGTGAACGACACGCCCCAGAGTCTGGAGCTGACATCTGTCGACGAGTTTCGGGACTACAACTCGCCGGCGGCGCCGGGGGCGCTGCTCAAATGCGCGCTCATCGTCACGGAGATCGTCGACCTGGACAGCGACGCCACGCTCAAAAATCAGCTCAACAAAGTGAGTGCTCGTGAATGACTTGCGGGATATTTTCACACCCACATTGTAAGAGGATGCTGACGCATGACGACCTGGGTGTAAGTTAATATGTGGAGCCCGCTGTGTTGTTCACCGTTCAGCTTGTGCTCTGGGATACCAGGTTGCGACCACTTATTATTTTTAAAGGCCGTCAGAGCGCCGGGAGATGGTTAATCTGTCCTCTTCACGCATGTAGATGTTCTGCTACTCTTGGTTCATGTGGCTTCACTGCCATCGTGAATGTCGCGCCAATGGCCGCGTGATGGCAAGCACCCGGGGTAGCGTTTTCATCGTTGCAATAGCCATTGGACAGCCGTGTGTGGGCTGCTGAAGGGTGGCGCGGCCTTCGGGCGGCCGCACGCCGCACGGTGAGCTGCCGCCGCCACCCGTCAGTGGCCCTGTGCGTCCGCCGCCGCCAGACGCTGGGCGGCGGCCTGGAGGCGGAGACTTGGTCGCGGCTGCCGCAAGGCTCCGGCCTCGGCACCAGCAGCATCCTGGCGGCGGCGCTGGTCAGCGCCCTCTGGACCGTCTCCGGACGCACCTACACCAAGGACGATGTCATCCACGCGGTGGGAGCCGGAGCGCGAGGTGGCGCGCGGCCGCGGCCGGCCGATGGTCACGCATAGGGGCACGGTGCGCGCGTGCTCGCGCGGAAGGACCCGTACTCCGCTCGAGGAGCCCAGGTCGTCACCGGTGGGCCTTGCTTGTGTTGTGAGCGTGAGGTTAACTTAAGCGGTGTCGCCGCGGTGAACGATGGTGGTTATAAGTCGGCACGACCTCCATGCGAGGTCCGAACCCACGAGGCCGCTGTGCAGACCGGGCGGACGGCGTCGTCCGATGTTCTGACCCTGGGTTCGCTGTCCACCCGCGCCGATGGGCCGTCCCCGCAGGCGCCCGTCTGCTGGTGCAGGCCATGGGCGCGCCCCGGTCCCGTGACCCGTGACTGAGCGTCGCGCTTCCTCCAGACGCTGTATATGGAGCAGGTGGCGACGACTGGCGGCGGCTGGCAGGACATCGCCGGCGGCGTGGCCGGCGGCGTCATCGCCTGCTCCTCCCCGTCGCCCGACAAGGGTGTCCCCTTCGCCGTCGGTGCGTGCGGGACCCGGGTCGGCGGGGTGTGGGGGTCGCCGAGACCGTCTGAACGCGTCCCGCTGGCTGGGCGCGGACGGAGCTGCAGCGCCCCTGGGTCTCGCTTAATGCTGAACATTGCTCAGTGCTGTCGCGCTTGCCATCGCCCTCCAGACCTCTCAAGTGTCGTGTCCCCGTTTCAAACTCCTTCCCCAGACTGTTCCCACTTTCGCAATGACTTTCTTCGGACGTGCGCCGCGCTTCACCTCGCCGCCTGCCCCACCTTATGGTCCGGCTCCCCTGGTGAGCCCTGTCTCCGGCCGTCAGGCGTCGAGTGGCTGGCGGTGCCGCGCCACCTTCCGGCCGTGCTGGCGCGCCACTGCGCGCTCGTGTTCACGGGCCGCGTGCGACTGGCGCGTAACCTGCTGCAGACGGTGGTGCGCAACTGGTACGCGCGCGAGCCGCGCCTGGTCGCCACCTTCCGCCGGCTGGTGGAGAACGCGCGCGCCATGCGCGCCGCCCTCACCGAGGGTAGGTGTCCCCGCCGCCGGGGACGCTGGGGCGCTGACGGGCGGGGAAGAGGTGCCGATGGAGCGACGGGGTGGACGCGGAGGCGGAGAGCTTCCTCAGGGGTGGCGATGAGCCTTGCAGCAGTCGTGGCGGGGCGCCACGGATTGGGTTGTGTGCGGTGATAATGTTCGAAGGAAAAGTTTCGCCTTCGGAGGCTGTCACACGAACGTTACATTGCGTGGGCTGGTATGGTGGTCACCGTAATGATGGAAAGCGGACTTGCATCACCAGGGTAAGCCAAATCGTGTTTCTAGTGAGCAAATCTGAACTTCTAATGAATACTTTTAGGTAGCTGGCTCAGTACCTCGGATCGGGCATGTCTGATTGGAATGCGTCGGTGTAGCCAAATTTCGCCCGAAAATTACCCTCTCTTTAAACTGTTGGCGAAGTTTATCGTGGTGCATTACCGCGCTTACTCCAGCCTTTCGAGTAGTTCCCACCTTCGAGTCTATCCCAATGGCCTGTGACGTCATTCGACGCGGATGCGCAGGTGACCTGCAGGCGGTCGGGGACCGCATGAACGTCTACAACAGCCAGAAAAACGAGCTGACGCCGTCGGCGCTGCCGGAGGTGGTGCAGAAGATCCTGGTCACGCTGCGGCCGCTGCTACTCGGCGCCGTGAGTCGAATGACGAACCAAACCGAGTAGGCGTGCGCCAGATCTTGCCGACCCCTGGCGTCACCGGGTTGGGCGTGTGGGTGCGCGAGTGCGGCTGTGGGTGCGCGGGTGTGGCGGGGTGCGGCGGGTGTGGTGGCGGGCTCGGGTGTGGCTGCGGGTGCGCGGGTGGGGCCTGCGGGTTGCGCGGGTGTGGCTGCGGGTGGCCCGGTGTGGCTGCGGTGCGGCGGTTGTGGCTGTGGGCGCGTGGGCTGCGGGTGCGCGGGTGTGACTGTAGCGTGCGGGTGCGCGGGTGTGGCTGTGGGTGCGCGGGTGCGGCTGCGGGTGCGCGGGTGTGGCTGCGGGTGCGCGGGTGTGGCTGCGGGTGCGCGGGTGTGGCTGCGGGTGCGCGTCCTGGGCGGACCATTGGCCGGGCACATGATGTACACGGCACTGCGGCTCGCCCCGGAGCGCATGCGGGACCCGGCCAGTGTTGGCCGCCAGCTGCACGGGGCTGGAGAGCCGCACCGTGCCGTCAGACACGCCAGCGAACGTCACGGATTTAAAGCGACAGCGTGCTGTCAGCCGCTGTTCTGAATGGTCGCGGTTTCAATCAGCAGCCCGTGTGGCTTCGCGCCCAAGTCCCCACACATGTTCAATGCATAGTGTGCCAAGCATCCACCGCCGCCGACCCCACGCCGAACACTTCGGGTGCGTGGAAGCGGTCAGGAATCACCGGAGCAGTCTCAGCGTCCCCACCCGCCACGGCATCTCGTCCCCCGACCGCGGCCTCCTCCGGCAGACGATAATGGGTGCCGGCGGCGGCGGCTTCCTGCTGGTGCTGACCCGGCAGCCGGACCAGACGGACGCCGTGCGGGCGGCGCTGGAGCGGCTCGGCCCGGCCGAGGAGCGGCTCAGCGTGCACAGCGTCAGCGTCGACCCCGACGGGCTTGAGGTCACCGTCGGCGACGCGCCGCTGCCGCTCCGCCAGAACTGTGCCAACTACGCCGTCTGAGCGGCCAGCGACGACGTCCCACGCGTGACTGCGAGTGACGTCGCGCGTGTTGGCCAGTGGCGTCACAAGTCTGTGACGGGCGTCGGGGGGCCGGTGCCCGCGTGAGACACCAACTGGGTTGGAGGATGTGCGGAGGATGGCGGCGCACAGAGGGAGGAGCTGACAGGGCGGCGTCAGTCGCCTGTTCATGGCTCTTGAGAATTTAGCTCCAGTGATTGGTCGCCTGACTAGTGACGTCAGAACGAGGGACGAATCGATGGGCATTTTGATGGGCGTCGCCCCAGCGCGACCGTGGCAAGAGTGGGAGTGTTTTTGATACCGCTTGTTCCGTGTGTGCAGTTACCAAACATCCGCTAACAATTTTGATAACAGTTCGTGGGACGACGGGAAGGACAACTTAAACGGGTGAAAACTGTATCTCAGATAGGTCATGGCAAAGTTTCTCATTACCCTGGCGGGAAGTGTAATGCGGAGGGTGGGGCGCGTGTCAAGCTCTGCCCGTCTGTTGGGGCTCGCATGTATCCAAGAGCTGGAGCTCAGCTTTGCAGTGATTTTGGCTTGCCAGGCTTCGGGGCAGTCGACGGGGAGTTCCTACGATGCGACGCTACTCGTCGGCCGCAGTGATGGTGCTACTAATAGCTGCGCAGGATGGCCAACAGATGACCGCGTGGTGATAACGGTGGACTGTGTAATCTTCATCGTGCGTACAAAGATCGATTGTACAAGCACCCCACCAAGACGTGATAAGCGATTCGTGTATGTCTTCCGCCGTGATTGCTTTTTACCAAACCATTCTTTACATATAGATTTCAGCTGAAGTCAGTATGCAGACCCAAGGGCGGAACCGTCAGGTGTGTGGGCAGTGTTCCGCGCCGACCGTGCCTGGTGACCCTCCACCATGGCGGAAGCGCCAATAAAACTCCGTCACACTCGGCGTCCGATGTGCGACTTCAGTTTCTGCATCGGAAGCCGAACACCGATCAGGCCCTTGCGAGTGATGAAACCGATGGCGAGCCTGGCAGGGTTCCGCCTGCTCACAGCTGCTGCAGATCGCCACTCCAGTCGCGCCCCTAAGGCGGAGATGTCGCGATAAGAGCGCCAACTGGCGAGGCACACGCACCCCGTTCTCTCGGGTTTCCCTCCATGTATTCGGACGTGACGCACCCGTCATCAGCGATCCCTGATCTGTCCGCCGGCGAGCCGCGCGCGCATCCTGCCCATCTCTCTAGTTTCCCGCCCACTCCAGGATGCGCGCGGGCCCGTTCCTGGATTTCCGTGGAGGGGACTCACGTTACGGCGCAAGCGGGGAGTACACGGCGCGCGGAACTGGGGCGCCGGTCGCGGAGGCCCGCGCGCTGCAGCCACGGCCGACCGGGCGGGCGATACTGAATGGCGAGGCGACGGTGACGATGATTGGTGGACGGCGCTGGGGGGCGGGACTAGCGGCGGGCGCGGCCCCGCCCTCGCGGACCGCCCCGGCCGCCGCGGCCGCGCGGCCCGCCCCGGCCGCGGCCACGGGGTCCGCCTGCCGGCACAGAACGCCACGTCAGAACGGCACCGGGTCACGGAGCACTGGCAAAGGTAGTCACGGGAGTGGCCAGCACACGCTACGGGGGTGCCGGGCTGGAGCACCGACGGGGCCAGTGTGGGCAAAGGACACCACGCCAGTAACGGGAAAGGGGGGGGGGGGGGAGTGCCGGGAGAACACTCACAATCGCGAAGTGGAGGGCGAACGTCAGAGCATAGCCGGGCAACGGCGTTACGAAGGAATCCGATGTTTTAGCTGGCTGGTAATGGGTCACTTAATATACCATGCTCGTTCAAACGTCAGCCACCAATCGAGTTCCCGTGTTCTAGGAGCAAATCAACGCAAAGCCGGTTTGTGAGCAGACGATGCGTAATGAACGACATCCCAGCCCAAAGAACAAACCAGCCTAGGTTTTCATGGCCACTTTCCCGACCCCCTACAGTCTCATCAACTGCACACAATCCCTCCCAGCTCCGGTGAGACAGGCCGTGCGCGGCAGCGGCGCGAGCGGGGCGCGGCGAGGCCCGACCGGCCAGCGTACCCCGTCCGCCGCGGTCGGCGCGCCGCGAACGCATCTTGGGCGTGTCGTCGATGAGCAGCGTCTCCAGCGGCAGCGAGTCCGGTAGAATGTAGTAGCGGATGTTGTTGCCGCGGATGCTGAGAGAGTCAAGCTGAACCGGTTCCCGGTTCTTCAGCGTCATCTTTACCGCCTTCAAGTGCGTGTTCATCGCCACATCCACACCTGGTTGGTCACGAGGAGTGAAACTGAGCTCAGTTGTTGGCTGCATATGTGGGACACATGTTTAAGAAGGCAACATACTGACAAAGAGCATCCAAGCAGCACACACAAATGGATTAACTCAGAGAGGGGAAGTGTTACTGGGGTTCACAAATGACAGAATTAGCAGCAACACTTTTATGCAGGATGTCATGGTTGGATGCCCTGCTCACCTGTAATTGTTCCATGAACCAGAGTTCCATTTTTCAATTCTATGGTGACTGTTTCATGGCTGAGCTTCATCAAAAATCTGAAATAGAAAATGTGCAAAACAATCTCAAATATACCACACAGTATGATGCACATGTTTTTTTTAACAAATAAACCTCTACTGACATGCCCTGATTGCCCCCCAAATACCAGATGCCAGCAACAACCTGCATATGAGCCAAACCAGTACCTTAAGTGAAAAACAAGCAGTGACTGGCATTTGGTACTAAGATAATGTATGCATGCCATGACAGTATCACAAGAAAATCATTTGAATTGATTACAAAATTTTTAACATTACTGAGTGTAGTATTATTGGAGTTGATTGGATTCCAACTTCACTTAACTGCAACTGGTAAGCTGCATCAAACCACATAATATTTGTCTGATCTCACGACATGAATGGTCACACACAGGGATAATGTAAGGGCCAACACACATGGATGAAGCACTGGGATGCAAGAGGAAACTCTGGAACTGCATTGCCATCAAGCACCCATGCCAGGATGGAATACACACAGAATTAAGGGATGCATTAGCAGTTAACCTGGAGATTGTGAGCATGTCCAGACTCTGGAGCCTTCCACAAAGCTGCAAGGGTCAATGAGAACAGTCCTCAGGTTGCTTTCAATAACACACCTTGGGGGGATCAAGAATTGCCAGAACTGCTGGCACAAAGGCAAGATGGGAGAACTGGAGCTCAGAGTTTATGGTGGGAGAGAAGCCTGATGCCTAACAATCCCTACCTCACCCTCCTGTTCCCACTGCTAGACTGGCGGCATCAGAACTGCCACTGTAGGGGACAGGTTGACTCAATTATAGTACTTCAACTTGCAAGAGGTAGCAATGTTTGCTGGAGCATGTTCTCCAAACTCAAATATTGTTATGTGCTCATGTTTTGGCCCTTCCTTGTTCTTGGCGTTGGAAGCGTTCTTGCATATTTGTCCATGATAGTGCATTGTTTACTTAATTTACATGTATGGCTGATGCACCATATTTAATTCATTCAATTTCCAGTCTGATATCCACCATGACTCTGCCATGTCGGCCTATGGCAGAAATGGTGCTGAAATATACCAGACACAAAAGATCTGATGGTCATATCATTTTTTCACCTCCAGGACCATATGACCACTGAGGTGGCACCATTCATGGGACTTTTTAGGGCATCATGCATGTCTGAGTGACCTTGAAAGTTTGCACAAAATACTCATAAGTTTGTGGGTGTCAAGCTCAGAAAGAAAAGGGTTTTAAGGGATGGCCCTGGTTAAAGGGTCTTAGAAGGGTTCTTAAGGATGGCAGGATGAGCAGGGTGCCTATGATGCTTGGCAACTTTGACAAACCTTTTCTGGATGACATGGACACCTCTAGCTAGTCAGTGGCAAAGAAATTGGCATCACTGAAACTAAAAAGCACCTCTAAAAAGATGTACATGATCCTGGAATGTACATAAGATGATATACATCCTATGATACCTCCATCCCTCTTCCCACACACTTGAAAACACTTCCCAGCTACCTCAGTCCCCTTGTCAACACTGGACCCCATTAGACCCTGTGGGGACCTAGTGGACACAGGGCCTGCCATTGACTTGGGGTGCACCGACCAATGTAAATTGTGGGTCACTGCCTTGTCCCCACTTGGGAAACTGGCTCTCAGACTCAGACTGAGACACTGAGCTGACTATTCAGTACTGGAGTGCCTAAGCCTCCCCAGTGCCCCCTAAATGACCTTCAGCATGGCCTACCCATTGACATATCAGATTTAGGGCACTCCCAGTTGATATTTCCTTGTGGTTACCTGAATGACACTTCAGGCCTAGAATCCATGGGTGTATTTTTGCAAATTGAGTTTAGGAGGAGCAGAAAAGTGTAGAATAACAAAAGTGTCCACCCACACCTACCACAACAAGCAAGCTTCTGCTCAAATTTGGCCAACTGTCCACAACAAGGGGGAAGTTTCCCCCACTGGTATCAAAAGTTACAGCAATTTTCAGTACCAAGGACTTTATTGTTTTTTTCTTTTAAGACAGGTGTGACATTATCATTATTTATGTCACCATCAAATGTAATGAGATAGGAACATCCATCTGTAAAACAGCATACTGGTCATAGCACTGCTGGAGGACTCTACCATCCCTGGGATCAGAGCCCAGGCTCACTGTGAGAGCCAGCTAAATAAACCACCTGGCTAATGTGCCTTCAAATGCAATTGTCTGCAATTCAGATGCATAGAAAATTGGCCTAGAGTAGATGGAGACAATTTGATGACTGTCTCTTATTTATAGCCAACATCACCTGCTCTTCTGACTCACAACTCTGGCTTTTTATCATTGCAATAAGTCAATTGTTCAATCTTAAGATTTCTGGAGAGTGTATCACTGTATAGGCCTCATGCATAGCCTTTCTCCCTTTGGGGGATCCATAAGCCTGATGTGTAACCACCATTCATTTTGGAGGGTGTGTAATCCTGGGTCATAACCAGCCTCCAATTTGGAGGCTGCATATGCACTGCCTTCCTTGAAAAAAAAACTATGAAATGGGGCACACTATGCCGTATACCTTGACATGCAATGCAACCCATTTTTTAGGGTGAATATGCTCAACATCAACCAGTCGTCTAAGAAGCCCCTAAAACCAGTTTATACCGATTCAAAACCCCTTTACTGTCTTTCCACGTTGCATTTTGCGCTGGTACCTTTGAAGGTATCCACGCGCCGGCCCAAAGGACGTTATCGGCGCAGTGCAACGCACATGACTTATCTGAAATTATAGCTGCAAGCAAGTCAGCATCCACACTTAAAAAACAAAAAATTGCAAGGAATTGAAGACAGCAGGTCCTACCTTACAAGCTTCATTCTCGATGACTAATAAACCACACGTTATAATCAAACGTTCACACGCGTTCACGAAATCGCGCCGCCGCCGTCGCCGCCGCTATTTTGTTGGTAGTGATGACACACTCAAAACTCTGCCGAAAACGAGAACTGTATGTTTAAGGCTGCTTGATGTGATCATTGCTCACGAACAAATCACATTTTGGTCATACTTATCGGTGATTTTCCCTTGGAAGTCATATAATTTGTGCAAATAAACGTTCTTGGATGAAAGGCTTTTCTATAGCTTTCACCACTATGTTTGTAATACAGACACGAAGGAGCAAATACATTTACAAACATTTTCAGCACTGAGGGGCGACGCATATTTATATTCCACTGTCAACCAATCAAACAACGTAGATAACTGCGAGAGAAGGAAGGTGGGGTAGCATTGCACCGAGGCTGATCCGCCTTCGAGAATCGGAGCCCCAGGGTGGGTACTGGAAAAGGGTGATCCGTGTCACCCTATTTGGGAGTGTCATTTGCTAGGGGGCGGGGGTCGCCAGTGTGGGCAACACCTGGTAGGCATTACCCACATGCATTTGCGGGCTGTCAGCAGGATAAGTTATGCTCAAAGGTAACAAACGTTGTGTTTTAGAACAAGCAGAAAACTGTGATCTGAAAAATAATATTTAACCCAGTATCATGAACAATAGATGTTAGCTCTTGCCCCTTAAAACATTTTTGTATTGCTGTAATATATATCCAGCATGGTATTGCAGTGTTCAGCCCTCAATGTGAAGCGTATAAGGATGGTGGGTTGAATTTGTTTTTAAAGTTCCTGTGTGGTTTTGTATGTTTGAAATAAGGTTCATTGTCTTCCAACAATCATCTGAAGTTACAATTCTCAGTTGTAATTTGTATTGCTTTTTATGTCAAAATTGTAAATATCATAGTGGCTCATGCAGTGAGAGTCTCAGCTGATATTGACATTAAAGCCTTATGATAGTTATAAGTTAACAAGCTGCTGCAGTTCATTAGTGAGGAACATTATTTGCTTAGATGAGATGGAAGTAAAACCCCTATTCCTGCATTGCCCATCTGGGTTTTCTCTAAGGAATAGGCCTATTACTACTGTCTTATCTAGTCTTAACTCCCTGTTGGATAAAATGTCTTTCAGAGCATTTTGTATTCATACTAACATGCTTTTTTCTAACATAATTCCATTTCCAGGTCCACTCATTTGTTTAGCATTTGTGTTTGCTTTATTCAGGCTTTAAAATGCCAAAAGTTGTTTCCCAATCATTGGTTTGCACAGACAGCAAGGATAAGGAAGAGTACAGCAATGACAAGCCTCTCCACACATACTACTGCCTTTGCGGTCAAATGACTGCTGTACTTGGTAAGCTGAGTGTTAGATGATGTCACCCTTGTTGACTTGTTTGTGTTTAAGTTATTTGACTTAACTGTGTCTGGTTTTCAACATATTTAACTTGTTATGTGTGCCTATAAAAATGTAGCAGGGGGGTAGAGGGGGCATTGCCTCCTATGCTGGAGGTAGTGTGTAAGAGTACTCTGCCTCCTCATAAAAAGTGTATTCTCAAAATTTTATGAGCCCCTTTTTGCCATCCCTATGTACTTGTAGCCACCTGTATATTACCAAAATTCATATCAAAGAGGGCCCTATACCTGAGCTAGGTAGAATTAGTCAGGCTGGAATTTATGTTAGTATTGTTATGGTGGTCAAAATTTGCATCATGCTCATGAACAAACCCTAGTGAGATCAGCTTCTAGTTCCTTTTCTATTAAAAACTAGTTGTGTTAACTGATTGCTCAACTGACATTAAGATCAGAGCATATGTTGAGCATAGTTTGCTGCTGTCACAGCTGCACTGACTTTTGATGTAGGTACAGCACAAGACCATACCAGCTTTAATGTAAGAATGGTGGAAGACCATGTCACAGCCTGTGGTAGTAAATACCCCCCTTCTAAGGTAAAATACTTTGTGTGGATATCAAATGGTGGTGGAAACTTGCCTGGAAGCCACTTCATCACACACTGGGCAAAACTGTTGCGCAAGCCACCATGCTGCAGAAAATTGATTTGCCTTTTATATCCTGCCACAGCAACATCATGTACTCTTGAATTGGACTATTTGTTGTAGACTTGATGGTTTCACGGCGGAAGCGTCGACGGACCTGTTTCGCGGCTGAACCAGGACCGTCAGTGTTTCCGCTGATCGTTACACATATTGTCAGATCGCCCCCTGGAGAAACTGCCACTCAGAGCCCGGGATGGTGCGCGTGTCATCGACGGCAGCAAGCACGCGCACAAGCTGACCTGCGTTGACGACGAGGTCGTGCACCTGCGCCGCGAGGGGGGCATCGAGAAACAGCACCGGAAAAAGTGCTCAAAGTGAGCCTATTGATTCGAACTCTTGTACCCATGCTGGGGATGTGTCATCCTCGTGGAATGCCTGGCGTTATTCGCGAGAAAGGATTTGGATCGTTGTGATCACCGATATCGAGAGTAATGGATAATATGCTTCAGTGATTCGTAAAAGATACGGGGATAAAGATATGGTGAATGATGCAGACCAGCATCATGTAGGTTTGTGCTGTTTGTACTTGCCAGATTGGGACATAATGTTAAATTTAGCTCCCCTGCTCACCACACTATGCTTGCTAAAAATGTTTTGTTGGCTATGCCTTTGTATTGCATCTTTATCTGTTTAATGTATCGGCGCAGGTGTGGCCTGTGGCTGTACTACAGACACGGCGCGTCAAGCAATGTCACCTTTATCGTCCAGTCCGCCCTGGTCCAGTCCGTGCAGAACAACATCTACAACCAGGTAACTGGACGGGACGGCCTTCCCCATGCTATGACGTAAGTGGGCACACCGGGCATTTCAGCGTTGCATTTTAGGCAATGCGGGTGGAATGTGACGGACGAGGCTGCTGTAGGAACTCGGTGTGGCGATTTGGAGGCGACGGTACGTCGATGATCAGTTATGGTCACTATGTGCACCTTGATGGAGCTCTGTCGAGTTCCGGACTTTTGTATGTTACGGAACGGGCTGTGACATGGATCACAGCATTACATTGAGAGGCGCGTCGTGCATGTTTGTCATTCTCACTGGCATTTGCAACAGGAGCTCTTGCACAAAAATTTCTCACGCACTGCCCAGGGCACGGTGCGTGGAATAACAAACCCATGTTTTCAACTGATCCGGTATATTACATGAGAGATTGTATGCTTAGTGTTACTTACACTGCATTCATACCGTAACGACTTTTTTCCACAACATTGCTTGCCGTGTCCCTCAGGTTACCAGTGCAGCAAAGGAGAAGATCATGATCACCAAGCACACTAAAACCATGGGCAAGTTCTCATCCGTCACGGTTTCGACGATGGACGAGGAGGAGGACGAGATCGAGGAGGTAGGCGCGCGGATTCCCCACCACTCACGCGCATGCGGCACCAGGCGCTCGCCAGCGTGTTGTATTCTATGATGGGGCACCCAACCCATTTAGCGACGCCCGCACATATTAAGAATTGCCTCAGGTAAGTCCTTAATTCTATCAGATAATAAGTCAATTCTATCAGGACTGGTGTCCTGGTTCGCTTGTGCGCGTCGAGGCGGTCGGTACCATGTGATCTCGTGTTCTTTTCAGCGCGAGGTGGCCGACTCGTATGCCCAGAACGCGCGGATCATCAAGAAGCAGCTGGTGCGGAAGGGCATGTTGAAGCGGGACTCGGAGCCGGAGCCGGAGGAGGACCCCAAGCGACGGAGAGTCAAGGGCACGCTGTTGAATCAGTGAGGTCGTCCTGGCTGCTGCGCCCGTGCCGTGTCCCCACCCCGTCTAGTGTTCCGTTGTGCCATGTAAGTACATTCACCAGCGAAGTGTCGACCAGTTTTGAACAGACGGCAGCGGTGGCGATCGACACGCCAGGCTGAGATGGACGGCACGCTGGCAGTGCCAGCCGCAGCCCCAGCCGTGCGCGTCAACAAGACGGTCGGGGTTCAGTGGTGATCGCTCCGTTCTGCCGTGCCCGGGGCGAAGTGCCCACTCGGACGACGGCAATGCGGCGCCGCACAGTGATCCTCTGCCACGCGACGGCGCGCCGCCGCGGGTGTGGCTCGGCGGCAACAAGATCCATCTGCACAACCAGCTCCATTTGTATTGGTGCAGTGCTGTACCCTCGACAGTGTCACAGCCGCAATGCTTGAAGGCCCGGGGCGGGAACCGCTCGGCATTCTTCCCTGACGACCGCCCAACATCCTCAAGTTACTGGCGCGCCTACGGTATGCACGATACCAGCCGAAGTCAGTCACGACCAGCATCTCTATACCTGCGTTTCAACACATCATACAGACGGCGCCATTCCATATGAACACATCACATCAATACGTACACTGTCACTTATATGCCATCAGACGGGTATATCTTCAAATCAGTACATCTACGTCACTATGTCCAATCCACCAGGTACGACATTTCGAAGATCTCGGTCGATGCTGTAAATGTCTGACAACCTAGTTAAACACGTCAAATGAGGTAACAAGACGTTAAATTCAGCCATCCGTACATTAAATCCATAAGTTCGGCGGACTGGACTTCTGCGCTATTGTGCCTACATAAAGAGATACAACCGAGCTATGCCAGGCTCCGACGTAGTATCGTACACCTCACCAAGTGATCAGAACTCTCCTAGCTTCGCACTGCAATGTGGCTGATCTGTGCTGTAGTGACCCTTGCCAGCAATACAATATGTCTCTACAATCGCCTCAGAAAGTTGTTGATTGCGCATCATGATCTAATCGATTCAGCGACGCTATACAATACACCACAAACACACTAACGGATGAAGGCACGTTATGTAGCTCTCGCTCACCCCTCCTCACACACCCAACACATATCCTGCAATGTGAGGCACACCCAGACCAAAAGCAACACACCTTTCGCCATGGTCTGAGCAAAGTGACTGGTCCTGGGACCACCCGGATGGCATCTTAGTGAACAGAACAGCCACTCTCAAACGGAGCTGGGCCGGTGCACTCTACCACACGGTATGTGTACTACTCTATGGCCGCCAACGAGAGGGAACCCCACGAACCCGGAGCCCATCAAAAACTGATATGGATAAACGAACCGCTGGTCGCCTGTAAGCGCACCATGTTTAAAGCAGCATTCGCCGCGTCCTTATTCGCCAATCACCGTCGACTGTTGACAGCGTGGGGAAGCGAACCACAACAAAGGCTCCTTGGACACGAACGGTCTCTGATGCATATCTGTTTTAAGGCCGGGTTTTGGTGTCGTACCAGCTCTGCTGCAGCCCCCGAGTGGTGGCGGGTCGAGCTCTCGCTAGCGGCCCCACAGACTAGCGGTCGTCACCAGCGCTGAGGCTCCGGTCACAAGTTCCTGGCGTCGTACATCACGCGCTCTATCGCACCCATCTGCTGCGGCGGCAGGTCGTCGTCGTCGTCGTCATCGTCGTGCACGACGTACGAGGTGTACACGTCGTAGCCGAGTGAGACGGTGTTGTCCCAGAGCACCCGGTACCTGCGACAGGGGGAGGGATGTGGCCTGTCAGATCTCAATGTTGCTTATTGGGTCGCGGCGACACGACGACGGAGCCAATCCAGAGCCGAGACAGCTCTTAGCTGATATTGCCAGTGACTCGAAACAGTGCCGATCGTCCTGAACAGCTGGACTGTCTACTGAATGTATTATTTCACCACTTTGATTTGAATAATTGTCTAATTCACCGGTAACCGCATAAAATATGGTGTATGCCCATCAGTCCGAATATTTGGTTCTGGCGGAACCGGTCACGCCAATGGTGAGGTCTGCCTTAACAAAACCATCTTCATTTGGACTTCTCATCAGCCCAATGCACTCTTCAGCTACGAAGACAGAAGTAGACAAAAAGGCACCACAATAAGTCTAGTCTAGTAGTACCCAGTGACAGCCGGGTTAATACGCGCCTGGGTGAGGGGTAATTTTACCACCGAGGGTTTTTCCAGAATGGTTTCTGGACGGCGCAGCATAGAAACACCAAACTCTGCACAACTGTAGATAACTGAATAGTGGATCCTTTTATGCAAACAATTAGATGTACCTGGTAAGATCGCTGACCTATAGCAGGTCAAAGTCAGACCATGGCTGTCAGCTAAGGGCATTTCTAGGGAATAGTTCAATATGATACAACAACAGAGTGTTAGGCAGAGCTATACATATCTGAGATAGTTTCTTAGACACTCAATCTACCAAATTTAGAATAGCAGCGAATTCCATTGACCTAGGCTTAGGTATCAAGGCCAAATACAGGTCAAAATGAGGCTGCTTCTTAGTTGAGTGCTTGATTTATGAGGCAGTTTCTGGAACGCCTTCTGACTATTAATGACAGGAACCGCAACAGACACGCACTATGGAGCTTTCAAAGGCTGGAATATGCCACTGACCTAAAATGGCTCATTAAACATATTTCCTTTAAACATATACTGTCTTGTGTAATCTCTGACATCTATTTAAGATAGCAAGATAGGAGCAATCTTGTGGGTGATTGGCCACTCTGACCTCAGTAATCTTAAACCAAGTCATCGACATTAATTTAACACCAATGACCCTTTGCCTACAACAGGTATCCAGCTCATGTTGGTTGCATGAGGAGGTCTATGGGCACTTCAGACACTTACCTTGAGTTTGAACTTTTCGGCCTTATTTGATCCCAAGGTCATGACCTGGGAACCTCAACATTTGACAAAGTGAGTTTAAATACAGGCCAATCTACCGTGAATTTGACGTCTCTAGCTGTCTTAGTTTTCGAGATCGCACGAGGTGGGAGTCAAATCGACCTCCCACTGAGCGAGGGGTATTAACCGGCCTTCCTGGCGCGTGTTTAAGATCATATGATAAGATCTCTTCAAAGTTGTGCTGCAAAAATATCGTACGCAGCACTCAAATATCGCTCAGCGAAAGATCATGAGTGAATGTCGCATGCAACAACGGAAACAAATGTGTGCCGGGAAAAGTTGCTATGCGCAAATGCTGCTGCCAAAAAAAACACGCAGCAGTGCTGCCAAATGCACAGTCGCGTTATAAATGCCGGGTGCAAAACAAAAGAGCGGGGGAGGGGGGGAAATAATAGCATTTTCTTCGCGGGCAACTCATCCGCAAATAACCGACACCCGTGATTAGACCGCAACAAACTTTTAACGAACTCGATCTAACGTAACATAATCTTTTTTTACAGTACAACCAAGCTTAACCCAGGAAATGCAGTAACACAATAATTTTTATTACGTGCAAACTTAACAAGACCATCTCAATCTTTCCATCATGTTCTTTTCAATACCCCTTTTCTGGCCATTACGAGAGTTCAACGACCTCCATGGTATGTAATAACCTGACGCATGCGGTCACAACGCCTTTAAGCTAAACATCAGTTCATGCACTCTTTTTACTGCGATCTTCCACCCACAGTTTTCTACCCGCATTTGATGAATGCAGGGTTACCAATCTAACCAGCGCGCTCATACCTAGTGGGCAAACAGTAGAAGCTGAATGCCTGCGCAGGGGGCCAGATGGTCCATTCTGCGATGTAGAGCCTGGCGAACTTGGCCTTTAGCGTGGAGGCCATGTCCTGGACGCCGTGGCCACGCAGGACCTCCAGCGAGACGAGGAAGGTCGATATGAGGATCGGCGAGAACACCACCTGGTCCAGCAGCACCTGGTGGACGGGTGCCACGTCAATCGGAGGTCCATGCGGCGCTGGGGTGTGACCAGCTCTTACACATGGGACTGAATATCGACTGAATTTATTTTCAGCACGCAACATGCACTAGGCGCCACACTAGCAGAGCCATCGACTGAGAGGCATGTGCCCCTGACGAAACTGTAGGTGAAAAAACGTCACACCATCTGCAGGGATGACTGGATATGAGCTTTTGATGCTCAGTTAAAGCTGCTTAGACAGGCTGTGGAGTTTGCTGGCTGTTCAATTTGCAAGCAGATACGACGGCACATAGCTTGCAATGGCACACACCTTAAATTTTTGGCCTTTCCCTTCGTCAAATTTTCAGCATACTCGATGGATGCTCCGGTACAAAAGAAAAAACGGCGACCAAACCATCGAAGCAGCCCTGCACCGTAGCCCTAGTGCACTCTGTTACGCTTATCTACTACCTCCCCCAGCGGCAAGGCGCCAGACACTTGCCCACTGCTACCTTTTTGGCCACGACGCCGATGGTGCGTCCGACCCAGAGTCGGTCGAGCGCCAGGTACCAGTAGTGGCAGAGGAAGCCGACGCCCAGGCCGCAGCCGGACATGTAGCCGAGCCGGTGGCGGTCGTAGCCGCGACGCGCGCCCCGCTCTATCTGGTACCTACCCGGCAGGCGGCGCCGCCGGTCAGGGGCGGGGCAGGCGGCGCCCGAGGTGGCGCAGTGGTAGGTCGTCACGGCGGGGTACGCCGGAGTCTTAAGGCGTGCTGTCTGGTGTGATCCTTTGTGTTGTGGTACTGTACATATTATGAACTGAACAGGTTTTGTATAAAATCTTCAAGCAAGGGTTGTTCAGACAGGTTTTCCAATGAAAAACATGATTTCCCACCAGCTATTGCCTCTTTAAATAATGGAGGACACTCGTCATTGAATGCAGTAAGGAACAGGTCTCCTAGAGCGTTCACATAACAAAAAAAGGAGTTGAAAGTAATGTACAAAGCATAATGTGCGAATACACTGATAAACCATAACAGGGAATGCCAAAGCTTACCAATGACAGCTGTTAACACATGTGCGCAATTTGATGTTCAGTGCAGAAGAAAGACACTACAGCATGAAATAATCAGTTACGTTGATGGGTTTATCAACAGTACAATAACCAAACCATGCACTACCACAGCCATAGATATGATGGATAGACATACATCATTGGGTTTCAAGACAGCCTCATATACCTCTGCTGAAGAGAGTCCCCCAGTGCTGACAGCAACACAGATACTGAGACATTGGTGAGGAGCAGATGACGACCAAATGTGGCCTCGCTGAGCCGGGTCAGGGCACGGCGAACGGGCCCCAGGGTGGCGCCAGTCACACACACCAGCTTTCGCATGGCCCTGTACATGCTGACTGGAAGGCTCTTCACACCTGTGCAGAGTACAGTAAATGTAATGGCTTGCTTTAGCAATTGTTTATGCCATCAAACTTACATGTGTGAGAATGATTTACATCAGTGGTCATCTTATCTGCAGCATGATTTATATGAAATGCCTGGCATTACACAAAGCAACTGATCCTAATGAATAGAATAAATCCCACAGTTAGATGACAATGATGATTGGAGTTTTAGGGTGCAGATGTTGGAAGCCACCTTGTATCCAGTCAGACTATGAATCCCCATGGATCACAGGATCAAGCTAGTCTCCAAATGTCCATCCACTGCTCCAGATGTCCACCTGACATCAGCACACTAATCCTTGCAAAAGTGTGTGCTCCACTCATGTCTGACACCATGTCAAATTGTGCATTATTTTCAAAATATTTGTGAAAAATGTTTTGTGAGTGTTTCTGCCTGCAGTATCTTTGCAACATCACAATTTTGTGAAACATAGGCTCTCTGTGCTGAAAATGGTGACAAACATGCACAGAACTCTGAGCACTCAAAGTTACAGAGTGCACACCCTCAGGCTGAACACACTGATATGCCACCCAGCAATGTCCCTAAATATAACATCTATGTTATGAATGCTACCCAAACTATGCACTTATTGCAGTCTGGAGGTCAAGTACAGACAACCTTAAGACATAATGTAAGATAAGCCCAAGGCAGAGGCAGTACATGCAGGAATGGAGGACATGTTAATCCTCTTTTAATGGGAGATCAAAAATTAGCCCCACAGCCATCACCAGGATTTGGAGAATGGTCTGCAAGATGATGATTTTGGCAAGGGCAAACAAAAAGCAGCAAGCAGTCCTGCTCATGTCAGCAAGGCTTTTGATCTGAGAGACTAAGCCATTAGCACCATATAAGATTTTTACTTGCACCAGGGGGTGATACAAAGTTCCACAAGAGTAAAAGTCCCACTGCTGCTCCATTCAGTGGTAAACCCCTGATCAACAACATAGCTCTGCATAGAGACATGAGATCAAAACTGACTTACCTAAACGCGATAAGAAATGATTTTCATTGCATTATTATTGTTACCTCAGCCCGGTACATTTTTTATGGTTCTTGATAAGCCAAAATATTGTAATTATGCAACAACGCAGAAATGGCGCTGGGGAGTCAAGGCGGTGCGGTGTGGTGTGTGCGGCGCTCGGTAGCTCACCCATAGTTATTTAAATTTGAAGGTAGGAGCATGATTCTACCTGTTTTGAGATTACTTATGACATGTCCAGCCTTAAACAGGACAAATTGTGTACAATGATTTTTTCTAGCGTTAGGTAGCAAAGTACACCTACACCGGCAACACCTCTACATGCACTAAGATTGGTGATGACTACACATCAAGCTCTGAGCCCCCAAATTTATTGTGGGCACAAGCTTAAAACATTTTCAAGATGTCACAACACTAGTGGCGGTGTAGGTGTACTTTCCTACCTAACGTTAGAAAAAATCATTGCACACCATTCGTCGTGTTCAAGCGGCACATATCGTAAATATCTCAAAACAGGTAGAATCACGCTCCTACCTTCAAATTTCAATAACTTCGATGGCGGGCCCCCGAGCGCCGCGCGCACCGCACCGCCTGGACTCCCCAGCGCCGTTTCTACGTTGCCGTTGCGTAAATACAATATTTCTGCTTACCAAGAACTGTACAAAATGTACGGGACCAAGGTAAACCATCCGTCGTGCTTAAGGCGGAACATATCGTAAATAATTTCAAAACAGATAGAATCATGCTCCTACCCTCGAATTTTAATAAATACGATAGCGAGCACCCGAGCGCCGCACGCCCCGCACCGCATTGCCTCGACTTCCAAGCGCCGTTTCTACGTTGTTGCGAAAGCACAATATTTCTGCTTATCAAGAACCATAAAACATGCACGGGACCAAGGTAACAATAATAAAACAACCAAAATCGTTTCTTATCGAGTTTAGGTACATTTATGAAACACGCAGGCCAGAATAGTCCAGAACATATCCTAACCTAACCTAACCTAACCTAACCTAACCTAACCTAACCTAACCTAACCTAACCTAACCTAACCTAACCTAACCTAACCTAACCTAACCTAACCTAACCTAACCTAACCTAACCTAACCTAACCTAACCTAACCTAACCTAACCTACCTAACCTACCTAACCTAACCTAACCAACCTAACCTAACCTAACCTACTAACCTAACCTAACCTAACCTAACCTAACTCCCCACCCTACATCCCTTCAACCCAGCATCTCATTGGCATCCATGTTCCATGCCACTATAGTGCCATAAAGTGAGCTTTTATTTAGCTGCCATGTTCTCATTTTGCTTTACATTCCCCACCCAATCCCCCTGCAAACCCATGGCGTTGGCGTCGAGAATCAAATTTCATGGATTCTTGCTACCTTGTTCCTGGTACATTTTTATGGTTCGCAGTAAATATGGTTTATAGTTTGTAGTATGGTTTATATAGTACAGTTTATAGTTATAGTTATGGTTTATAGTATGTTCGCAGTTAATATGGTTTATATGGTAAATATGGTTTATGGTAAATATTGTTATGTTTTTAGTAATATTTGTATGGTTCGCAGTA